GCAAGGGCCTGGAAACGATGGCCTTAAAAGGGAATACGGAGGCGAGGGCGGGGAGCGCAGGGAAGGTTTCGGGGACGAGCTAGGAGGGGAGGGGAGGGTGTTGATATGTTAACAGTCCGCCCCGTTAGCCTAATCAGCACTGCGGCTCCAATTGGGGATGGAGATTGCTAGTTAAGCGTGGACCAAGGGACGGTGGCGGAGCGGAGCCGCACCACCGAGCCGTCGTAGCAGATGTGCCCGGTCCGCCCCCGGACCGCCCCCGGCCAGCCCAGCCCCCCCGGGGGCAGGCCTCATCAGGAGGCGGCGCCGAGCCACCCTTCGGACAGCGGCGACAATCTGCAGCCCTGAATGAACCTGTTACTCCCCCATTCCTCCTCCCCCAACGCCCACGCACTGTTTAAGAAGTCGGTGACGCCCCAGCCCCTCTCGCTGGGAAACAAAGGCAGCAACTTACAATTAGCACCTTTCTAGGGATGCTGATGAGCTTCTTACTCCATTACAATTGGCTGTGTAACGGAACGGGAGTCAAAACAGGGTTGTTTAAACGCAGTAAAGGTGTTAAATTTTGGTGCGTGGGGACACTGTAAATTGCTTACGAACTATAGGTTCGTAATGCAAACCAAAACGTTCGTAGCTTACGAAGGATTTTGAAGCGTTGTATTACGAACTAATTGTTCGTAAGCTTACGAACAAATAGTTCGTAATGCAAACCGATTGTTTGTAAGAACCGTCTAGCCTTACAAACAATCGCTTTGCAATACGAACAATTTCTTTGCAATACAAAGAACGAAAATTGTTCGTAACGTTGCAAAGTATTTAGTTCGTAAGCTTTTTACAGTGGATATTCTGTTTGTGGGGAACTAAGGGGGCTCCTATTTCCCCTTTTGGTTATTATCTAAATTATTAGACCCTCTGAAACTAATGTGCACCCCCACCCAGCCCGCAAGTAACATGTGATGTATTACGAACGCTTCCTCAGCGGGGCATCACATAAGAGGGCTGTGGCCTTGGAGGAATAAGAACAAGTCCACACTGATTGGTAAATAGGGTTATCGAGGTCGGGAAAGCCGGAAGAGGGAAAGTCGGGTGATGTTCGTTGCACCGTAAAGGTTGGAGTCACTTTTTAAGACCGTCCCCAGAGGCTGTCTCTACCCGAAGGTAAAAGTTTCCAGTTTTTATTTTATTTGTCGACGTTTGTTAACGTTAAAGTTTGATAAGCCGATTGACGTTGATAATATCGATTCTCCGTATAGGCAAACGTGTTCTCGGTTCCGTCTCCGCCGTCTTTCCGTTCGTCCCCAGGAGCAGTCCGCTGTCATCGCTCTGGTTGTGGCGTCTGTTGCCTCGGATACCTCGGATATGCACCGCCGAACTGTTGTGTTCGTTCAGAACGGCATGGTCGACCCGCCTCGACCCCGTCGTTCTGAGGCGGTCTGAGCACGAGCCGGCGGCGCACTTTGACGTTTACCTTAGGCTCCCGCACGGGCTGACCCTCCGCTGCGATCAGGATGGGACCGGCGCAGGGCAGGGGGCAGGCGCGTTTCCCCTTCACATGAAGATGCCCCTCGTGAAGTCCTTGCCGCCGTCCTCCCGGTCGTCCGGGTCGGTGTAGCTCGGCGGCGACCTGGAGACGGCCGTGTCGCCGTCGGTGAAGTACCGCTCGTACACGTCCTGCCAGAAGCGCGCGCGCGCCCCGAAGAGCTCCCACTCGACGGAGGGGTGGGCGGTGAAGGACAGCGTCGGGTAGGGCGCCGACGTGGACGCGGGCAGGCGCGGCCACCGGAGGCCGTGGAGCTCGGGCTCGGGCTCGTCCTCGGGGGTGGGGTCACTGCAGAGGAGGACATCAAAGTAGGGGGGAACGAATTGTTTGGCGATCAAGCTACAAATCCAGCTATGAAGCAAAAAGGTCAGCTATCTAAAGGTTTAGGTCTGCATGTAAAAATAAGAGCCATGTAGCTAAACATGGCTTAAGTTTTTAGCTAAATAGCTAAAGCTATCCCTCATTTAGATATCGGTTTATCTACACAACTAGGCCTAATTATTCTTTACCGTGTGTTGAAATACGACCAGAGAAGTTGGTAGCGCGCTCACCCGTACTTGATGAAGTTGGACAGGAAGGCCATCATACGGCGCCTGGTCACCGCCTCCAGGCTGTCGTGCGCCAGCGCGGGCTCGGGCCCCGGGCCCTGGGGCTCTGTGCCCGCCCCGAAGTAGTACGACATGTCGTCGGCGTGCACCACCAGGCCTGCGGGGCGCATCGGCGGCGGGGGCGTTAGACGGGCCCAGCCATTCCACATCGAAACGATCGGATATCAGACACGACGCCGATTTCAAGGTAAAGCGACAATTTTCAGCGATATCGATGTGGGTCTGATATCGTCTCGATATCTAGGTTTGGGGCGCTCGCTGTCTACAAACGCACCTGGCACGATGCACTCGCCGTACTTGACTCTGCTGCGGTTGAAGAAGGTGCTCTCGACGGCGAAGCTCATGAGGTAGGTGGGAGGCGCGGCCGGGTGGCAGGCGTGGTGGCGGGCCGCCCGCACCACGGGCATGCCGTTGACGATGTCGCCCAGGTACTGCGGACACGACACGAGACTGTCAACGCGGATGTCACCGCGAAGTGCATCGCGAAGTGCATACTTGCATACGGGCTTGCCTATCGTCCCACGCCATGGCGCCTTATGCCACGTGCGAGTATGCAACCCGACCGCACGCATGAACCTGGTAAGCAGAAAATAAAAAACACGGCGCGGATCACCCACCCCGTATACTATACACCACATCCGATGTGACCCGAAGCCTACAGGTGACTCACAGTGTACATTTGGTGCATGGTGGGGTGCTTCGTGTCGCCGAAGTAGACCTCCCGCACCTCCCTGGTGACGGCCGCGCGCTCGGGGGTCCCAAGCTCCAGGTCGAGGTCGCACGGAAGCGATCGGTCCAGCTTGGCGAAGTGGTCGTCCAGGTCGTCCTTGTCGACCCGGGTGCCTGCATCAAGATCATCGGGGAGGTGATCAGGCCGAGATCCAGGGCGCGGCCGGCCGGGGGCGGGGTTGACGACGGGTACCTACCTGTCCAGAGCTTCACGTCACCCCGGACCACCTGGCCCTCGTCACGCGTGAGGTTGAACATGGTGGGCACGGGGGAGACTTGCATGCCGTCGCGGAGCATCTTGAAAGGGTGCGCAGGGAACACGGCGTCCTCGGGCCTCGCGACGCATCCCCCGTCGATAATGGGCAGGAAGGGCGGGTTAGCGCGATCGGCGGGCTGCGTCAGGAGGGTGTTGCGGGGCACAGTTTGAGGGAGAAAAAGAAGAAAGAGAAGGAAATAACAAGAAAACTTTGCAAAACGTCCCTCGGTTTTCAATTTTTTCCCAATTTTCACAAAAAATTTCCGGATTTTTTTTTTTCCTCTTTTGAAAAACTTTAACTTTCCCAGAAAATTTAAATCTGTAGGGAGGGTGGCCTTACCGGTGGGCTGGCCATACAGTCCCAGGCCTTGCTGAAGAGCTCCATGGCCGGCACGCTCTGGAGGAATTCGAACAGCTCCTCATCGCTGGCGTTCCCGTCGCAGCCCAGGAGGCGGGCGAGCTTCAAGGTCCGCTCCCGCACCACTTCACCTGGCAGCGCGCCGTACTGTTGGAAAGCCAGGGCAGGGACAGCGGTTAGGTGTCTGACGCCGACCTAGACTGGGCGGACCCGGGGGAGAAGTGTACCTACCCAGGAGTTGTTCATCACTCCGCTGAAGATCATGCTCCGCTGGAAGGTGCCCTTGGCCGCCTCGACGAACTGCAGGGTCTGCGCGATGTACCCCCCGATGCAGAAGCCGAACGCGGTGACGCGCTCCGGGTCGCCGCCGAAGGCCGCGATGTTCTCGCGCACCCAACGCATGCCGAGCACCGCGTCCTTGATGCCCATGTTGCCCGGGGCGAGCGGCGTGTTGAGCGACATGAAGCCTGTGGACAGGCAGGGTCAGCGTCGATCACCTGGCGGCCCTGCTGACGCAACGATACGTGGCGGCTTCCATACCCAAGGCCTGCAACCTGTAGCTGATGACGACCACGACGATGTCCTTGGCGACGAACAGCTCCGGTCCCACCTCGTTCATGGATGCGTTGCTGAGGCTCCACAAGCCGTAGTGAAAGTACACCAGCACGGGCTTCCTACTGCTGGCCTCGGTGCCCGGCGGCCGGTACACGTTGAGGTACAGGCAGTCCTCTGAGCCGAGCACCTTCTGCAGGTAGTAGTCGATCTGCAGCGGCGGCGGCTTCTCTTGCTCGGCCGGCAGCACCCCGGTCCAGGGCTCGGCGGGCTGCGGCGGCTGGAATCGCAGGCTGCCCAGGGGTGGGCGCGCGAACGGCACGCCAAGGAAGGCCTGGAAGGGCGGCGCCGCGTTCTGCTGCACCTCGCGGCCGCGGAGCACGCCGCCGTGTGGCAGGGTCACCTCCAGGGCCTGGCACACGGAGCCCAGTCGGTTACCGTCAAGGCCGGTCAAGGCAGAGCCCTTCCAGAGCCCCTTCCAGAGCCCTCAAGCGCCCCTTCAAGAGTTCTAGAGTCCATTCAGGAGCCGCTTTAAGGACCCCTGCCAGAGCAGCTTCCAGGGACCCCTTCAATAGCCCCTTCCAGAACGCCTTTAAGGGCCTCGGTCCTGCAACCAGTCATGTCCAACCCACGAAAAAGCCCGCCCGTGACGTCCTTTCGAGGTGGGGTAAATTTATAATGACTTCAAAAAATCTGCTACTATTGCAAACTGCATACTCAATAATTAGCTCATAGAAAAATCATGCACGTTCGGCCGTTATCGGCCGTTATCGGCCGTTATCAACCCCGAAGGATCATACCAGGTGGCTGAATAACCCCGCTCACTTTTCACTAGTAGTTGGACAAACAAACGTAAGTCCAAAAAAATTAGTCGATTGTTTTTCGGTCTAGTTTCATAGTTTTTGCGACGAAGTACCTTCAAACAAAAAAGTGACTTTTTTGGGACTTGCGTTCCTTTGTCAATTTACCAGTGTTTTGTACCATGGTGTACCGCATGCACGAGTGCGGGCGGGCTTGCCTATCGCTCCTGCCCACGGCGCCTTACAGGCCGAGCGAGTAGGCAACCAGCCCGCACTAGTGCGTCGTGCACTGTAAAAGCTAAAGGGTACTTTCGGGGTGTTTTCGGGTATGTGAGGGATTTATGTCACGTTTAAACAGGGGATTGAGGTGAAGTTCCCTTTCGGGCCCTTTATGCAGGATGAAGATCCCCCTATGACATGGGGGTCCTGCCATCCCCCCACGTTGTGTACATTTGTGCACAATAAGCATTCTCGCAGTTCCCTCAGCAGCGGCACTTCAGTCCTGGCGCGAGGGGG